ATTTTTCAATATAGTTTGACCAGAATAACGGAAATTTGCCATGTTTATGTTGCTAGTTAAATTCAGAGAAGTGTTAGCACAGAGTCTAGGTGCTGTTTCTTTTGATGGACTTTGTGTCCCTTGGAAAATATGCTCAGTCTTGAGTAAATTTTAGTTAGTGACAACCCTAAGTTTTAGTTCATCTGTCTTCTGCATGCCCCAAGATTCTGTGAGAAAGCAATATTCATTCTCACATACTCCCAGAGAAACTTTTTGAGGAAGCTGGTCAAGGTCTACCTTGTTCTTGAATCAGCGTCCTGCCCTCATGAAGATGTGTAACTTCTTCTGTTTGAGTTCCTAGATTAAAGACAAATTTGTGAAACATGAATCAAGACAAACAATTGTGAAACTGAAGGCTGCTCAGATGTTAGTGGTTCATGGCATAGAGTTGGTTGTGCTACTCCTTTGGTAGTGCTGCCTGTGTCCAGTGTACGCTGCAGCAGGCTGGGTGAGCAGCAGTGTAAAACGAGTCTAGGGCACGTGGTACTGGGTACAAAGTTCTTCCACTTTGGTGGGGCATGGGTTTTTAGGAGACACATTGGTTGCTGCTCTTAAAACCAGATTTCTTAAGGCGTATCAACTTAAAATATGTTTTGGAAATTAAGGCCTTGAGCATCTGAGGTGCCATCCAATGTATTGCCTCCAGGCCATCTTTGATCAGGGTTTCACATGTCATAATATTTACTAGCAGTCTGAATGTGGCCAGGCTGAAATGCATCTCATCTGATGGTAACGATAACTATTGAAGGACTACATTTTGGCAACACATACATTGATATGTGACCTCCCGAGAGCTGTATTTTAATGAATTGTTTATAAAGAAATAAAAATAATACAATTTTAGTGATAACTAAACTAGTATCATATATCAGGTTGTTACAAGAACACTTGTTTTGGAAGCATTTTAGAAATAAGCTGTTATTTCAAGAAGGATGAGAATTTTCCAGTTGTTTGTAAACTCTGGTGTCTTAGGTTTGTTTGCATTTTAAAGCATGGACCTTTTTTTCCTTTTTTCAGTGCCTCAGTTCATGTGACCTATCCTTAAACCAGGTTTTCAAATAGTGAAGTTATTGTCCAAGGATATTTGAAGGTATTTAGAGAACATGTGTGAGTTGTCCCAGTGTTGAATGGGTCATCACATTAGTCTTGCCTTGCCTCTGATTTATTACGTAATTTTGTGTATGTTATTTTCTTACTGGTAAAGTAGGATATATACCACCTATATGGGAATGCCCAGATAAAGTTTCTAATGTTGCCCGTACTTTTTAGAAAAAGAAAAATTGTTTACATTATTTTAGTGTTTTGTTTAATCTTTTGCAACAAGTTTGTTAAAATGCAGTTGAATTCAGGGGGAAAAAATAGTCATCAAACTACTGTAATAGGGTTTACTGTTTTCAGTGAAGGGATTTTGTTAGTTCAGATTCACAGAAGTCAGTCATATGCAGGCAAAACACCCACACTGTACAGTTTTGTACTTTTTCTGCCTTAGACAAATTATAGTAACACTTTCTAGCTGAATTAATCTCCACATTTGTGTGCAAACTAACCAAAAAACCCTAACCCCTTTTATAGGAAAGAGGTTTTGGTTTTGGTGTGTGGTGTTTTTTTGTTTTGTTTTGGTTTTTTTGTTTTTTTGTTTTAGTAATGGCAAAAGAGACCACCTTCTGTTAAAAAAAAAATCCACCTCAGAGCGGTGCTCAAGGGATGCATGATGTCTCTGGAGACAGAGGCTGTGCGTTCTCAATGCAAGAACCACACTGAGAAGTGCAAGGACACTCCTGAACAAATAATTTGCTTAAAAAAATAGGCATGTTGTTTAAATGTGGGGGAGAGGGGAGAAGCATCCTAGTCTGGCTGTTCCCCTGCCCTTTTCCTTGCTCACATCAGTTCTGGGCACTCTCAGACTTAGTGGTGCTTTTTAGTGGCACTTTAGTGGTGTGGCTTGGGAAGGACTATGAATTAAAACAGTGAACTTCTTGTTACAAGAAGTGCATGACCATCCCAAGTCCTAACAGATTGAGGACTGGGTAGAAAGAGAGATCTCTTGCCTACTCTGCTAAACTTCTAGGTAAAAAGGTGATGTGTTCTGCAGGTTGGGCAAAAGATACAAAGAAGCAGTGGTAATGGTATCAACAAAAGCAACTTGGGGGCTGTTACCCATTTGTGCAAATTGGCAGCTGGTTGGAGCTATCTAGCTACTAATACATCTTATAAAATATATATGTTTGGTTAAAAGAGTTTCCATTTCCCCCTGGTGGGGACTGCATCATGTTTTAATTTCTGCAGTTGTTTTCCCAAGGCAGAGATGTTAGCTATTGATGCTTTATTGGTTCTTTGAGATTTTTCCGCTATTGCCTTCATTATCATCTAACTGCTAACAGTCGTGAGAGGAGGAATTGCTGACTTGAAATCTGGATGGCTTTCAGTGAGTCCTTTTTCTTCTAGACAATATTGCTTACATTTATGTTCAGTTACATATTGCTGATTATACTGTGTTTAAGAAAATAAGTTTCCTGCAACTTGGTTACCAGTTACTTCTAGGGTGAATGCTTTTAAGAGCATGATAGACCTTTACTCACGTTTGTAAAAGATCTGCATGTTTTCTTCGGGTATTCCCTCTTTTTAACATTACAGCTCTTAAGGGAGAAATTATGTGAATGGGTCAACCACATGATTTCATAGGAATCTATATTTAAAGTATCTTTTTCCTTCCCATTATTATGTGACCACCTCTACTTTGACAGTGTCCTCAATTACAAGAGAATTTCTACGGCAAGGAGCATTCTAGCTCAGCTATCTAAAAGTCCACCTTTAACTTCATTCTCAAAAATGTTTTATCTCTTTCAGCTGCTTTTAAAAATTCCATTCTAGTTTTTTTGTTTTCATGACTTAATTTGGCTAGAAAGGATCTAACCATAATTTGATGTTTTATTTAGCATGTTGTAGCCCATCATATCAATAGTAAGCCTTACTTGATTTCCACACAGATATGTCTTTGAAAATCTTATTTTAACCAAAATAGATTGTTCTAGCTACATTTAATAAATGGATCCTATGCTTTTTCAATGTGAAATTGTGGCCACAGCAGGAGTCTTTTAGTTTATTCTGGGGGAGGTCTGTGTTCTTTGTTTTAATAGTAAAATTTAGAAATTTACCATCTTCCCCCCAAAAAGCCCCAACAACACCTTTAAGTCCAAGGATGGAGCTTCTTTGCTACCTGCTAAAGCATTGGGGCTGCTGTGTAAGGAGTGTGCTTGAAACTGGCCACTATTTTGGGAAGTTGTGCAATAAAAGTGGGATTTAAATTTATTTTGATCTAGTAAGGGGGAAGGTTTTCATGAAGACTTGAAAACAGTTGTTTGATCAGTTCTACTGTCTGTCCTGAAGAGTCTAGTGGCATCTTTAGATTTGCCTTGGTTTATAGACAGCCAGATGGTGCAGGCCTTTTCTTTGCTTGTATTGTATTACAGGATTTCAGACTGTAGCCTGGATGGTTTAGAGGTATTAGTTTTGGGGTGCTGTATTATCATGGTGTCCTGAATGAAACACATACTGCAAGTAATTTCTATTAAGATATTATGAAATAGAATGCAAGCACCAACATATGCTGGTGGAAAAAGTCTGCAAGGGTTTATATAAACGTATGTAGATTAAAAATACAGTCAGTAAGATATGGCAATATAAAGAAAAGAGCCAGCAGACTGCAGAATATAGTTTGTGCTGTAAGGGTGATAAGTTAGAAAAATATTTGTCCAGTCTTGAAGAATGTCTCTTCATATCTTTAAAGAATATGGTTGGATATTTTTTTTTTTTCCTCTTGAAAGAGTATGAAGAGGGGTCTGAAAACATAGCACATTCTGTTCTCCAATTAATTTGTTGCCTTCGTCTATAATTAATTGCATATTTTCATCTGCACAAGGAGAAGCCTTGAAAAAAAAAAAAAAATGAATGCATAGGAGTGGGTTGTTTTTTATCTTTGTAAATTTTGCAGCTGCAGAAAAAACGTAAGGATTGTGTAGTGTTGTTACATTTGATTTCCCATAGTTGGCTGTGAGCATTGGTTCATCCAATAATCATGCTGAAATCCATTTCATGAAATTTAACCGACAGGTACAGGGTCTGTCTAAAAGGTCTGATAAGTGATAAGATGTGTTGATCTTCTTGATGAGATTGTTAAACATTCCTGAATAGAATTCTGTTCCATCAAGGGAATCTGTTTGAATGAAGCATTTAGTAGAAGCAGAATTTATGCATTGGTACAATGAAACTTCACAGCTCTTGGTGTAAAAAGCCTGACAAAAAATGTTTTCTACTGTTTAAGGTAACTCACTGTATATAAATGTTTGTGTATTGTGTATAATATATACATACATGCATACTTATGCATTTATATACCTCTAAAAAGAAGAAAGTGTTGAAAAACTGAAGATAAATGCAATCAAAACTGACACTTATAGCTTCTCCCTTATACTCTAATACGGAAAACGCAGTTTTACATTGTGAAAGACATAAATAGTTCATCTCCATTCCATATACACATTAAATAAGTCTCCTTTTGATTCTAAAAGTAATCTAATTCTAGGCAGTATTACAGCTTAAATCAGAATATTTCCTTGTTACTAAATGGTGAAATGTTACTGCTTAATGAAACCCAGTGTCAGAATTTTTTTTATGAATGAGCAAGGTAATACACACTGTAAATGACGTGTAACAGTTTGTTGATCACTTTAGCAATTAACTGCAGCTGAAGAAAGTCTGCTTACTCAAGCAAGTCACTCTCATTCTCTGAGGAATCTCTAGATTTTAATAAAGACAGTCCAACAGTGAATAAACAAATGTCTATGCAGTGGCAAAAATGGAAATAATATTAAATACAATTTACTCATTTAACATCAAGCTCTCCCTTGAAATAGTACAGATTGTGTATGTTTACTTTTTAAACATACTTTTATTTAATCTAGTTCAATACCAGATGGAAATGATGCGAAGCCTTCGCCACGTAAACATTGATCATCTTCACGTTGGCTGGTACCAGTCCACGTACTATGGCTCTTTTGTCACTCGTGCCCTCCTGGACTCCCAGTTCAGTTACCAGCATGCAATTGAGGAGTCTGTAGTTCTCATTTACGGTTAGTATGAGGTTTCCTTTATTATTCTTTTCCCCTCTTAATATTATTACTACTATTTTTGTATTCTGTCTTTTGCCTGTAAGAGTAGCCTGGCAGGCCTTTTCGAGTAAATACCAACCCTGTGTCTACGGCAGCCTCAGCAGCAGCTAAGTCTAGACAGGGTTTCCTTCTTTCTGTTTATTTTTCTTGCTATCAGAGCCCTGATGTGTACGTTTTGGAATGCTGGAGTAGCTGCTTCATTTTTATTCCTTCATCTCCCCTCCCTCGTCGAAGGGGCTGGTGGAACATGACCAGATGTCTAACAAACCCTGCTTGCTAGCGTGTCTGGCTCTGTACGTGACTGACCAATCATCGCACGAATTGCCAAGTTTTTTTATACCTCTGACAGAAGCATACAAAACCTGGACTGTTTCTTAGCACAAAGATTTTTTTCTTTTCTGCCTATTTAATGGTGTTTCCTCAAGCTCTCCAGACCAGATGTTCTGTGCTGTATCAGAACCGTAGGCAATTTAACAGCTTTATAGCCTCCCCCTCCCCAAACACTCACAGTTTGCCATATCTGGCAGACTTGCATATAGTTTCCAGCTGAGAAGTAAATGTAACGTCCTGAGTATCTGTCAGAAAAAATACTAATGAATACGATCAATCTTATGAGCTGCCCCAAAATTGTTTCAGTATGTTAACAATTGGATTACAGTAAAGAACAAGTTGTTAAAGTATACTTATATTGGCTGGAAACATTGCATCATCAGACCTTGATGAATTTTCCACTTGTTTCAGTCTATTTTGGTTTTCATTTTATCACCGATTGCTAAAAGTTTTACTGTGTTAAGTTTCAGACAACATGAATGTTAACACAGCTTTTATTCTCATGTTGGCATGCTTCAGCTGTTATCATGCTGCAAGTGTTAAGCTTCTTTGTCCTAGGAATGTAACAGTTTGTTTAGAAAATTTCCCCTTAAATTCAGTAGAGTATGTCAAGGCAAAACTGAGCTTTTTATATACCAGTTACATTGTTATGCACAAAGCAGCAGGGCAACTTGATCTGAATTAGCTTATTGCTACTCTAAAATTATGAATTTTTTGTATGAGATGTAATGAATATTTTGATTTACTGCATAATGACTGGAGGGAAAAATCTTTATTTAAATGAGGTAGCTCTCACATAAGTTACGTGAATGGTTCATATGAAAGAAAAGAAAATGTGAATTAGACCTTTAATGGGGAAATAAAGTTATGAGTAGAATGGGTCTAGATCCCCCCATGTTTTCCGAGTTAAGTTTATTAATTAGCTTCACTGTATGTAGTTGGATGCATTTTACATTTTAATACAATAGGGTTACTTCCACTATAGTCTTTTCTGTGTTGGCTGTCTTAATTTTTTTTTTTTTTAGTAAGGCTAATTTGTTATTTTTCTCCTGTTTGTCAGTCAGATATTTAAAAAAGAGGAAATCTGGGGGTAGTAATAATATGCTTCCTTTAATTATAGATCCCATTAAGACTGCCCAAGGGTCTTTGTCACTAAAGGCATATAGGCTGACTCCCAAACTGATGGAAGTTTGCAAAGAAAAAGACTTCTCTCCAGAAGCGTAAGTAACTTAAAAGAATGTTTTGTCATAGGTTTTGATGAATTATTTGGGAGACGGAAGGGTACGTGGGATGATAAAATACTGTATTTTAAAATCTCATATAATATTGCATGCTGGGGAAATAATAGACATGTACTGATACAGCCAGCTGAGAAGGCATGAAAGTCTGTCTTTGGGCATCTAAATAAGGGCTGAAGTGGTGGAACTTGAACTGATTTTGGAGATGGTCAGTGGGCTGAATGTAATGACCAAGGTGAAGATAGCTGTATCTGGGAACAAAAGACAAAAATATTAAAAAAGGAATGGAGAAAGGGAAATAGCTGGTCTGTCTTTAAGCTCTTCTTTTTTTCCAGAAGGAAAATTGAACAGGTATTCTGGAATAGCTGTTCTTCTGTATTTATTCCAAATTAACTCCCCCATGTAGACACAGTGTTCTGGAGTAAAGTTGGATAATTACTGTTTCAGAAGATTAGCCTCTTGTGATAGATGTAGGCCTTGGCTGTCATGTTTTTCCTCAAACAGTTTGGTGTTCAATGGCAAAAGCATAAGCACTTGTTAAACTTTCTTCGCTGAGGAAAAATGGAATAATTTTATTGCTTGGTGTCTAAACGTAACATTTGCATGATGAACAAACAAGTCTGTGCTTAGTCAAAAAAAAAACCCCAAAACAAACAAACAAACAAAAAAACGGGGAGAGAAGGCAAAAGTTTTTATTCCATAATCTAATACGCATACAAGGAAGTTAAGGATATATTTCCTTAGAAACTTTCAGATAATGTCTTTATTTCCAGATTTTATGAAAAGTGTTACTGTTTATTATAAAGCAGTAGAAATAGTTTTTGTTCTTATTGTAAAAGAAATATACACTGGAAATTTATATTTGATATCCACCATAAAACTTAATTCTTTCAAAACACACCCTATTTTGTCAATCTAATTTTTGGTCGGTAAAAATTTTAATTGTTCAGCTGTTGGTGAAATTATTTTTCATTGTAGCGTTTAAGATTTTAAAGGTATTTCAATGTCATGTGGTGACTAGCTGGTCAATTCTATTTAAGAAACCCTGATGGCAGGGAAATCAGTAGAATATTTTGGAAGGGGCAGAGTTAATCCTGTCAGTACAGTCTTTTGCTGGAGGCTTTTTCATGTAAGTAATGTATTAGCAAGCAAACGGCTGCTTGACTTCGGAGAGTTTTTCCTAGAACAGCTTTTTCTAGTCTTTGTAAATGTGAGTTTTGCCATGCAAATGCTCTCTTACCAAAACTTGATTTTTGTTTGATTGTGGAACTATAAAAATCAAGATATTTCATAAAATTGTCAATTGCTGGAGCAACAAAAAGAACAAGAGAGTTACTGGTTATATGAATAAATATTTTAAAACATTTTTCACAGCTTGAAAAAAGCAAATATTGCTTATGAAAACATGTTTGAAGAAGTGCCCATTGTAATTAAGAATTCATACCTGATCAATGTGATGTTGTGGGAACTGGAAAAGAAATCTGCAGTAGCCGATAGACATGAATTGCTCAGTCTGGCTAGCAGGTAAGTACTTGTTAAAATAATGGATGTATTTTTATTCGCTTTCCCAAACCACAGTTTAACACCTTGGGTGAAATCCCAGCCTCATTACAGTCTGTGGAAGCTTTCCCTTGACTTTTAACAGGGTTAAGACTTTACCCTTCATGTTCTTTTGCTGTAGGAAAAACTGCATGGTGAAACAAAGCATTAGATTCAAGCACTAAATTCAGTCTCTAATCTGCATATACCTGTACTGCATGAAGTGTACAATCTTTTCAGTAGTGTGTATTTTTTAGGAAAATACTGGCATTCAGAAAATTCAGGCAAATAGTTCTGGAAGTAAAAACTGGTTTTGTTAAATATTCTTTAAGTAATTCCATAAATTATTTTAATAATAAAAAAAATCACATTGGTTCTACTTTGGTAGCAGGATTCACTTGAAAATAAAGTAAAAGAATAAAGGCTCTATCTGAGAAACTGGCAAAAATGATCAGACTGATTGTCATGACAGCCAGCATTCATGATGTCAGAAATTGTTTGAATTTCTAGAATGATCTTCTCATATCTAAGAATAACTTCTTCTTGTAGCACTTTCCCCTGGCAATACATTTATGATAACAAAGTAGTCATGACCTCTAGCAGCATGATCAGAAATTTGGTGGTGCTTAAATCTTGCCTAGCACAGTACATATATTAATTAGATTATTAATGAGCTGATCAAAATAACCAGATACACTAAATCATGCAGTATCTTGTTGCATGTTTCTGGGGTGTAACGTGAAGGTATTGTCTGACAAGATTCTGATCCCCTCTGACTGACAACCAAGTTAGCTGAATGCTAATGGCCTCTTTTTCTTTTTTTTTTTTTTTTTTTTTCCCCCACATGCCCCCATCATGTAAGGCTGTTAATGGATCCATATTGCTAGTGGTTCACATATTGCCCAAGTTAGCAGAAATTTTCCACTCTACTTTCTTTACTTGAATTTATGTGGATGTATTGAGGGATCTGATAGCTTTTAGAGAAATTGGTCAAGAGAGAACAGTGTAGGGTTGAACTCTGCCAAGAAATTTACAAGTGTTGCAAGAGATACTTAGTCATTAATTTTGTCTAGTAAATTTGTGACTTTGCACCTTGGAATTAACAAAGTGAAGAATTTTTGACAGGTTGTCAAGTCTACTTGACTTTGCAGGCTTTCTGCCAGGCTCTTTCCTTGGTCAAAGATCACAAAGCTTTTACCATCTGGGGCACTGCATGTAGGAGATGACGGTGATTCATCACGAGCTCTACTGCTTTTCTGTGAAAAGGAGGACCATCATATTTCTCGGTGACCTGACAGCATTGCTCTTGATTGTTTCTCTGGATTTGCTCCTGTAAATATGGTTGGGATTACCCAGCACCCTGAGTCCTAGCATGGGCTACCACTAGTCACATGACACAATTTTGGAAATGGAAATTAAAGAGATCTCAAACCACGGTTGAAGGGGTTTTTTTTATCAGTTTTACATCTTACATAGTAACTGTTCCGTACCACTGCCCTGACTCAAAGTAAAAGATGAGAACTGTACAAATTAATTTCCTTTCTGGAATGACAGTGTTAATAGCATAGTGCAAGACAGGCTTTTGTGTTGGTCCTCTCATATCAGTAAACAGCACGAGAAGTGAACAAATAAAACATGAGCCCAAAAGAAAAAGGAAACTTCACCATTTCTGTTTAGGAATCCTTCACAAGAGGAAAAGAAAAAGGCAAACTTTTTTCTTAGTGAATCAAAGTTTCTTTTCAGTGTGTGTTTTCTTGGAGTAGTGCAGCACTGTTCTTGATGATGACGCAGGTGGAACTGGATTCTTGATAAACATGGTTAAAAGTGCCTTTTCAATTAAGTGTGTTTCTTTGAACTTTACCCAGTGACTGTCCTGTATACCGGCAGCAATTTCTTGAGCTTATTGAAGTCTAAAATTTCCCAATAATGGGGAACTAATTCAACAGATGCATCAGTTTTCAGAGGTTTTTCTGAATTACGTCTCCTGAACTGACTTTCCTGGTGGCATTCTTCTGGCTCACCTGGTGTGTTTGAGAAACTTAAGGTGCTATAGTTTGATTTGAAGGAGATAGTTTTGTAAATAACCCCAGTGGGTTTATTTGGAGGTTTTTGTATGTCTTTAAAATATTTTATAGGTGGTTTTAGTTACCAAGCAGATTACATGAAGTGGTATTTTACATTGGTATAATTCATCAGATGGCAAATGAAAACTTTTTAATGCTCATTTGTTCAAGGTAGAGTGAGTTATACTGTATGCTGAAATATTTAACTAGTTTTTACTTGAATTCAAGAATGAAGATTTCTCTGTCAGAGAATATATTGCCTGAAGTAGGGGAGTTCAGACCCCCACTATTCTAGAGTTTTTATTTTCACTTTGCATTTCCTTATTTTTGTCTGTGAATATTTGTGGCTAAAACATTTCAGATACAAACTTTTAATTTTGGTGCATATCCTTCTTACTTAACTTTGCTGTTGTAGAATTAGTTGGCAGTAACTTTAAGGTTACTTTTTTTTATTTTTAGGGTTTGGTTGGGCTTTTTGGGTTCTCTTTGGGTGTTTTGGGAGCATCCCTTAATCTTCTGAAGCAATGGTTTTGGCAATGTATTTATTTACCCATAGTTCTCTGGAGAGTTTGTTTCATCAAGATTCTCACATGTTCAGCCACCCACCTTGTCTGAGTTTGAAATTGTACCTATTTGAGGTACTTTGTCTGCACCTTCATGTCTTTTCCTTTTGAAATACATTTGTGACAATTGTATAGAGTGTTTTACTTTTGGGGGCATAAATTTGTATTTCTCCTGTGAAATCTGAATTGACTGGTATATTCTAGGGAAGGAAGTTGAAGGCAGAATAACATAAGGCTACAAGTAATAGCAAGTAAAGGCCTTTTGCTCAAACTCCTCCTGCTACCCTTAAGGACCAAAATGTCTTGAAGACCTTGGAGTACTGCCAGTCTTTTGATAGAGACTCAAGAATTAAAACCCTGTCAGATAATGTTCCAGATCTTCAGAGAAATAATTACAACCAACTTTCCCATTCTCATCCATCTCTTCCCTATTCTATTGATGATCTAGTTTAAATTAAAAAAAGCTTTTTTGTGGTCTAGCTTCATAATAGGGTTGTTCTATAATATCTCAATTTGTCTCAAGCAATTTTTCTAATAGTGTGCGTCAGTAGAAGCAAACATGTGCTGAACATTTACTGCAGTAACATCTACTTGGCAGATATATTTTTCAAACATCAGATGCAGTGTTTTTGCAAAAGTGACATAAGGAGGGTTACTTTAGCTTTTGAAAACAATACTAACCTTTATACATTGTACTGCTTATTCAAAAATCTCAATGTACTTAACGGATTATTAAGATAATTATGAAAATCTCTAATTTGCAGATGGGGAAAGCTGACAGAGAGGGTAAATGTGTTGCCCAAAGGCACACATCAAAGTTGAAATATAGAAAAGGGAATGGAGCTCAAGACTCCTGACTTACATATCTCATTCAAACAAAATCCTCTTAAAAAGAGCACAGGTTGAACTCAGGCTGAAATGCTGAGACGTAAACAAGTTCTGCTAAGTGGTGGGAATGTTCCTTAGAAATATTTAATCAAAAAGATGTGCTTTACCCAGCAGTACTTCTCTAATCCACCCAAAGCTGTTCCCACCAGGAGGAGAAACACTGCACAGAGTGGCACCTTTCCTGAAAAACTGTGACTCTGAGAGAGGGGCCTCAGTAGAGCTGATGGGAAGTGGAAAAACGAGCAGCAGATACAGCGCTTTTTTTTTATGCTTCCTCTTGCTGTTCTTATCTTCCTTAGCAAGGGTACAAGCAAATTAAAATGAAATAAATAAGGGCATCCATTTATGGTGATTGTAGGCAAGTTTAGGGGCCATCTTTTTTGGACACCTTCAGCTTCAGAATTGTTATTCCACAAAATGAGGTGTCTAAGTACAGCACAGGAATTCAGATTTTGGAGGCTGGGTGCTTCTGCTCTGTCACACGGTCCAGTGCAGGTAGGTGGGCTTCTCCAAAAGTGCAAGCTGAGGCCCACGAGCTGTGTGTAGAGACATGGGAAGCTGAGAGAAATGTGAAGTGCCGCCTTTCTTTAAAGCTTTGGTGCCTGACTTGAGACTGTGTTCTGGGTGTTTCAGGCCTTTAGTGAGTGTATGTCTGGAGTCCTTTCCTGATTAAAGATGCTGAAGTAAATGTGGACTTCATGTGTAGTTCCCCATTATGAATCCTACAGAAGCGAAGCCAGTTTGAGGTTCCAGCCATAGCTGCTTACATCATTCCTCCCCACTACCCCCATTTCCTCTCTACACCCCTCTCACCCTCAAAGATTTTTATTCCCTCATCTGTTTCAGAATATGGCTGTACAGATAGCTTTGTGGAACAGTCTGGTGGAAAAAGTCAGGCTCCCACTCTTGCAGCCTTTTGCTCAGCCTCCCTTAAAAAAAAAAATTTAAAAAAAAATTCCAACAGAGGGTGTTTTTGCATTTACAGTAGACTATTTCACTGAAAGCATTTGAAGTGTGCCCACGCAAACAGCTGAATCCATACAGCTGAGAGTGCTGTAATCCTTGGGCAAAGAGGGAGAGAGAAGCAGGAAGATGCTGATGCTGGAACCTCTTAAACTGGCTTTGCTGGCAGCAGAAAACTGCACCTTTGCTCTCCTTAAAATATATCCTCAAAGGGAGCCTCTGGTGGTACAAGCATTACCTCAGGAAGAGGGGGACTTACATTCAGGTCTCTTAGCCAGATCTGTATCCTAACAGAGTGTCCTCATGTAGTGAGTGATCTGTGAGTTTAGTGGATCTATAGTTGTTGCTTTCTCCTTTTGTGGGTGCTAATGAGTCAAATGCAAGGCTCACCAGCAGGAAGAACAAGACAGAAAGGATCATGACTGTTTTTTACAGATTAGGCTACTCTGTTCATGGGTTTCTACTTCTCACCCTCAGAATCATTTGACCTTTGTGTTTGATAATTGATAAACAAGGAATCAGAACCATATATCAAGGACTTGATTTTATATCTGCCCTTTTGGGTAAAGGATTATACCCCAAAAAATTCACAGCACAAGAAATTGCTTTGCAGGCTATACTTTCTAGTTTTGTTTTTTTCTACAGTTTGTATATGTTTGTACTTTTTTGGCATTTTTGGTTGTCATCCAAGCTACAGGTGAGTGATCTTAAAAACAATTCTGGTGAAGAAGTGCTCTCATTAGATTATTTCCTCATTAGGTGTGTAAGAATCCATGTCAGGTATTTTTTGACTGTCCTAACTGCAGGAGAGACTCCATTCTGTTTTTTCCCCCTTTATTATCTGTATTGCTCCCCTGCCATCCCACAGTCCGCATGTGTGGACTTTCTGATGCTCAGTATGGTAGCAGTTCTGCAGCTGCTATTTTTCTCCCACAAAGATTCATTGATAGCTGAGGTGTTCTCTGGTGCTATCTGAAGGTGGAGCGATGTATTTCAGTTATGTTCAAGAGTGTGCTCAGATCATCACCACTAGGTGATCTCAGACCTGACTCATTTCACATGAAACTAAACTGAAAATAGGCTTTAGGAGCACTTGCTGTGCTTCAGCTGCTAATGGTTATCTGAAGATCACCGGACCACGTCAGAACTAGTGATAAGAAATCCCCCTGAAACACAGGTAGTGTGGACATTGCTTTGTCAGTACCAGCTATTTTGCTTTATAGATCTGTTGCTGTTGGTCTACACTATGGTAATCTAAATGTAAACTCAGTTTAATTGACTCTGCTGAATCAGCTGACTGAAACACTTCCATTGAAAATGCCATTTCTTTATTACTTATGCTATCAGAAGAACAACAAATGCAAGTGCTGAGCTCCACATTGTTTACATTTGACTGTCAAAGCCTTGTAGGAAAGTGAATCTTAATGGGGATGTGAGCAGCATTTACTGGCACCTCCTTTTTAAAATTTTTTTATTTTTAACGTTTTTAGTTGCACTGATGTGCCAGGGCATTTAGGTACCTAGCAGTGTGATCTTTGAGATCTGCTGTAGGGGAGTGCACAAGGTAAGGAGGTGTCTGAGAGAGACTTTGGGACAAGTAAGTGTATGCTGAGTCTTATGGGCTGAAGCAATGTGGTTTGATTTCCTAAATCTCACCAGAATAAACTTCAGCTGAAGAAAGCTTGTTTAAACATTGTATATATACATTTTTACAAATGTCTTCCTATTGGTCTTTCTATTTTTTTTAAGAGATGGAGCAAAAAGGAGTATCAGCCATATGAGAAGTGGGGAAAAAGCTGGTCCTGTATTTACAGCTTACTTATCACTTCATGTCTCAGTTCACATCTGCTTAAGTTATCTCGTTTTTAGCTTTTTGGTTCCCTGGCAATGAGAGCAAACACTATATTACTGCAACTTCTAACAATAACTCTCTGTTTCTCTATTCTGCTGTACTACACTGGTCCCAAAGAGATTCGCATAAAATCATTCTTTGTAATGAGCTATATTTCATATGGACACTATCTGTAAATTAATTATGTATTCCTGATGTCCACATACCCTACAAGACTATTAGTGTGTACCTACATAGGCATTTCTGATAATATCCAGTTCTAACACAAACTGTATAATATAAACTCTATAAAAAACTGAAAATATGCACACCCCTAGCCATGGCAATATTCCACAGTTCCAAATGTCGTGTGCTTGAAATGTTCAACCAAAAAAAACCCCAAGAAGTTTAAAAATAATTATTATAGTGGCGCCTTTCTTGCTGCTGTGTAGCTGAAGACCTCCTCACCATCTGCCCCTGTATGCAACTGAGATTTAAAACTCTGGCTTGTAAATAAATTGTGCTCTGAAGTTACTGATACAACCTTTTGTTCAGTGAGCAGGCAGTTCAGCTAGTGAAAAAACTGTCCTAGTACTCAGAAGTAAGGGTGTCTTTAGCTGCATTCTCTCTATGCAAGTATACTCTAGTGCCTCAGTACATTATCAGCTTCTATCTCCAGCTATGAGTTCTATGGATTTGGGGAATAATTTACACTTGGAAAGGGATGTGTGTAGTATTACGTTGTGGCTCCCTTTTCACTTTGTGCCTGTCTCTTCCAGTTTGTTTCCCTAGTGCATAGGCTGTAGGATGGTGGGAATGCAGTGTAAAAAACAGAAAGAATATCAGATAACGTGGAGAAGCAAACATTTTATTTGAAAGAAACTCTCATGAACAGTAGTGGATTTCATTTGAGGAGAAGGATGGAGTTTAGCGTTTTGAGTCATTGGTTTTCAGCCAAGGACTGGGTAAGGCTTAGATCAGAGCTAACAAACTAGGTTCTGATCAGATGGATCAACAGAGAGCAGTAAGTATCCTTCTTTTACTGCACTACCCTGTAAACACAATTCAGGATGAATACTGTCTCCATGGGCACCAACCTAAAAACTTCCAAAACTTTAACTTGGAAGCTATACCTTAAGTTGAGCATTCCTGCAAAATACTGAATCCACTGCTAAAAATGGTTACAATAAAACTTGTTTAACAGACTGCATTTGTCTGGCCAAGGCAATAGATCGCGTAACTGGAACTGGACGCACCCAGCCTAGCAGCTTCCATGTTGCCTATGGTATGGAATGTGGAGCTGGCTGGACTGGATGCAACACTCCCTCTCAACAACTAAGATCAAGTGATGTCTGCTGAACTTCCAGGCGTGGTTTGATAGACTAGTTAATGAGATGGAGTTCTGAAGAGTATTTAACTATCCCTGCAGAGGGATAGTTAAATATTTATGAAAAATCTAGTAGAAATTTGAAACCAAACTCTTTCAACACAACTCCTGGAACATTTTTCAGGGTTACATGTCAGAAAAGCATCATACTTTTTCTGTTCGACCTGCATCTGTAATATCAGTAAACTCACATAAGGTATTGTTTTTTCATAACTGTGGGGTTCCCTGCAAAGACTAAAACACTTAAATACGCTATTTGCAGTGTGGCAAAGATGCTAGTTGAGAAGATGCCATGTAAATTATCATCAAATAAATATATGAACAGAGATAACCAGGAACATAAAAATTTGCAAACTGTGCAATTAGTGTAGAAATGCTGGTCAAATGTCTTGAAATGAATTTTAAATAGTTTTAAAATAAATTCAATCTTTCATGAATGTTTCTTGTATTTCAGTAATCATCTAGGGAAGAGTCTGCAGCTGCTGATGGACAGAGTGGATGAGATGAGCCAAGATATAGTTAAATACAATACCTACCTGAGGAATGTAAGCAAACAGCAGCAGCAGAAACACCAGGTTAGTAACATGGAAAACCTGAATGAAAGGATTTTTTTTCCCCAAATATGGTTTGTATGGTGTTAACTAAGACAGATGTATTTGGTTCTAGTCGAAATAAAATTCTTACAGAAACATATCCACTAAGTAGATTTAAAATGTGCTAGTCAGTGGAGAATTATCAAATGGATTCACTTCTGCTGACATGTAGTATGGATTGGTCTTACTTTGCTATTTTACGTGTTTGTTAGGGACTTATGATAAGCCAAAATAATCGATAAAAATGCTGTGGACACAGGAATTAGAGGTTTAGTAAATGAAATGAAATAGCTGAAACTACAAGTGGATTGTTCCAAAACAAATAATCTTTTAATACCATCAAATGTAGTCCTGCATCTAGAAATAAACAGTCCATATTTAAGAGAGCGGACTGTTCTCTGTTTGGAAATTATATTTTAGTCATGTTTTGTATCATTAGATAGTGATATTGATCAAGTGATGCTGACTTTTAATTCCTGATGCCAGAAATCCTCTTTAAAATCCAAAATAGTCTGATTAGAGAATACTGAGAATGTGGAGACCGGCTCTAGGTGGCCCTGCGTGAGCAGAAGGGGTTGGACAAGGTGACCTTCAGAGGTGTCTTCCAATATCAACAGTTCTGTGATTTGGAGACGATATTACTTCATTTGCTGTTGCTGCATTTGATAAAGCAATGCTATGTCTAATTATAAAAGAATGCTGGTAAATTGGAAAAAAGCACTATGAGAATGATTTAAAAGCATGGAAAGCAGCTCTTAGTGATTGTAATTCACTTCATGTGATAAATTAAGTTAATGAGTGACTTGCTTACTCAAGAAGTACCTGCATGAAAAATAAATTTGAACTCTAATCTAACAGACAGATATGACAAGATTCAATATCGGCCAACTGAAAATGGGCCAGGCCACTTTAAAGATAAAATATTGCAGATATTGCTACACAAAGTAGCTAATTATTAAAAAGAGCACCTGTAGTTCATGTGAAACGCTTCATCACTGACTATTAAAATCAAAATTGGCTTTTTTCAGATAAGTAAAGTGTGTCTTGAACTGGGAATGCTTTAGGGAAGCAGTACATGATCAGTCGTCTCTCCTGTCTTTGTAATTCCCGAGGACATAAAAACATCATGCATGTTATCTTTACAAAATTTATTTTCCTTTGCTGCCTAATTTGAATAGAAAGATGGCATCCACTTCAAAGGCTTTTGTTAATAACAAGGGCATTTATTTATTTTGAAAAGTAGAGCAAAGTAGGTTCCATGGTGTCTCACTTAATTTCTTTACTAACTATAGCTGCTTTAGTAGTGGCTCATTGCAGCATAGTTAGTGGTCTTAACTTCATTTTTAAAATGGAGCAATTGTGATTAAGAGCAAGCCGTTTCAATAGAGAATAATAGGCAGACTGCTGAGAAGTGAATGGAGTAATGCAAAGAAAGAAGAAACTACATGCAATTCACATACAAATATGGGCATTTAAGATTTTATTTTTAACATTGTCCAAAAACATGTATTTGTCACTACTGGAAAAAAAAAAAACAAACTTCATTTGAGTATGCCACCAAGTATGAACTGTTTTCAGACTCTTATGCACAGATACATATAAGTAAGGGAGAGAAAACACCCTGTACTCTTTGGCCTGTTTATTTTAAAAAATTTTATATGTTGAATATGAGGGCTTCGATAGACAAACCTTACACCTAATTCCTGGCTGTGACATAGAGCATAAAATGTCACATACATATTTTTGAATGTATGTACTTCTGCAAGAAGTTTATCCAATAACCAAGAAATGGTCTACCTTAATTTTTAGAAAGTTTGAGTAATTTACATGGCAAAGGGATGGGTTGAAAACAAATATCTTCTGGTTTTGTTTGGTTTTTTATTTTACAGCAGAAGAGTTTCTACAAACTGCTACTCTAGTATAGCCTCTGGTAACCCACAAAGAAATTACATCAAAGCAGAATATCTAAATAACTGGAATGGAGAAATAAACCACTATGGTTTGTTTCAGCACCTCTTTGCTCTCCGTCTAGAGTTAATATCTTTTGGCTTAAAATACCTTGTTTAATCAAGTTCTCTTTCCCTTTCCTATTAATATTGTTTTGACCTTTAACTTGCAGAAAAATGAGTATTTCTGGTTTGTATAACTATATGATGTAATGGCTTCTCATACCTACATATTCCAACTTCATTTTCTGTTTTTGCACGGGGAAATGGAGGCCTTTATCTACCATGCTGTATTCTTTCTATCAGATACAGTATTTATCTCTATTAAAAAACTTTAAAAATTAACCCCACCACCTCAGTACCACATAATTTTCCGGTGGCTCACCTACTTAAGGGGAGAGGGGTGGAGGATGAGGAACACTTGTTACCAGCAAATTGAAATAAACTGTGAATTGCATATGCATTATTTGAAATAAACTAAATTGCATTTTAAAAGTATATTTTAAAAAATAGCTGATGGTTAGGTAAAGAATATCTGAGAAGAAGAAACTTTTGCTGCTTTGGAAGTCCTGTTGCATTCTGTTTGCTTTATTTTCAGTACCAGCAGAGACGTCAGCAAGAAAATATACAACGTCAAAGCCGAGGAGAAGCCCCTCTTCCTGAGGAGGATATCAATAAACTTTTTAAACCACCACAGCCTCCTCCAAGAATGGAGTCACTCCTTATCGCAGGTAATGTGCTAGCAGCCTCCTTAACTCATTGTTTCATGTGCAAATGCTAGCCGGGGAAAAAAGTGGAAACATCTTAATTTTTCATTACCTTTGCCATTATGGTGTGATATTTAGGCATTGGTAGTATTCCAAATACTGTCCTTCATTTGGTCAAAGGCAGTAGTTTCAACCTTTGATCTACAGTGTCTGAAGTATTAAAAAACCCCACTAAAACCCCAGCCTTATTACTAGTAGGCAGTCCATGCCTCTGTTAGAAAGTAAGCTTCTACACATAGAAGAATTTTAAACTATCTAGGTAAGTAACAGAGGCATTTACCCACGCAGATATGAACATATGTAATTTTTTGAAATCAAGCCACTATGTTTAACTAGAATGTCTTCATAAAGCTTCAGACTTGATGTATGGAGACTTTCTCCCATGGTACCTAGCTCCTGCTTCACCATCTGTGCCTCCTGGGTTGATGGGAAAGGGCAGGAGCAGCAGCCAGAGCCTCTTCCTGGCTCCATTCTGAAAGGGTGAAATGGGATTTTAAAGGAGAGCTGGAGAAGTGCCCCATAGAGCAGGTTTTCAGCACAAATGTGTGTAGTGACTACTGCAGCCAGTAAGCTGTTCCCTGCACTCATACCCCAGCTCTTCCCTCAACTCTAGAAGTTAGGGGGCTGTACAGAGAAGAGGCCAGGAATAAGCTGTTTGGGCTAAAACTACTGATTCTGAGAAGAACAGTTGTCTGCAGCCCTGAGTTACTGGTAACATCACTAGGTGTTGAACTGTTGCAGCAGCTGAGAAGATTTTACTTTTAATTTCACATAGAATTGGGACAATTTCTTTGATTTCTACAGACAGAGTTTTAGGGAAACTGTCCCCATCTTCCTGTACCCCAAGGTGAATGAAAATGTAAATGGGAACAAAGCATAGTTATAGGTCCCAGCCCCCCAGTTTCTTCATTTCACTGGTATGTTGCAGTATGTAGCTGCAGTTTGGTATCTGGGACCTCGCAATGGCAACAGAGAGCAGAAAACCTGGATGCTCTGATAAGCAATCTAAATTTGTAAAATGTAATGAGAAAGTAAATTCTTTAACTATAGCAAGCTTTTTGGATCAGTTAGTTATCACCTTGTTTTGTACAGAGAGAAAGTTAAGCCAAATTCCTAGTAATTTAGTGTACAGAAAAGAGTGACCAAAAAAAAAAATTAAGTCTGAACTACCATTCAGATTTTGGAGGGACCAAGAGATTATTATTTTAATATTAATACTGTATATCATTGCTCATAAGTGCTGCTTTTAGAAGAAATAACGTTCTTGATTTATTATTTCTTCCAGACTCTTCAAAAAAACTATTGTTTTGTTAGTTTTTACCAGTTAATGGATCCTAGCAGCATTAAAGTATTTAAACATTCAGCTTTAGCATAGCTTAAAAATGCAACAGAAGTGTGTATGTGTGTACACATGTGTTTTATGAAGCGATAGCTTAGGATGAATCATCTCTTAAAAGAGGAGGAATTGCAAACTATTACACTTAAAGGAAAAAACAGTTTTCAGCCAAAGCACTCTCTTTGTTTGTTCTTTTACCATAGTCAGGGGAAGAATTGAAAGCATCCACTTCAACTTGGATGAGGTAAAGTTTGTGGATAAAGAATAAAACTTAGCTCTTTTGTCTCTGAGGCATTTAAAAACTTTTCAAACAGAGCATTAAATTGAGAGTTTATTGGCCTTCTAAACAGTCTTAATTTTGATTAAACTAGCTTTATGTTTTGCTATTCCTAGTTAACAAGGGAAATAACTTGTAGCAGTACGTGTATAAAAATGTTTTGATGGGCATGTTTGATTTGTAAAGCACTGACAAGTCTTCATACCCTGATGACTTTTGAGATAGCTAATAAAGTGAAATACTAGGTGGAAAAAAAGTCTAGCAAAGTGTCAAACAGGAGTACCACAATTTTCAATCTGCTACTGAAAAATATTTGTTACAAATATTTTAATAGGGACAGCAGATGCGTGAGAACAGAATTGAAATTCAGTCTTGTAGTTTTTTTATAGCAACCAAATCAAACAGTTAATGTCATTAAGCTTCCAATACAGCAGCAAGAATTGTTTATTCTTTTTATTGCCATAGGTCTTTTCAGAAATTGTACATAATAGAATTGTCGAAGAATTAAGGGGCTTTTTGAGCATACCAGTTTATCTATTCTGCTAATCTAGTTTCTTCTTCTCAAACCTATTTGTGGGTACTGAAAATGTAAAATCCCTAAGTGCAGAGTAGTTGAGCTGTTTTGGTTGCTTCTCTGTATAAATCCTGAATGATTCATGCACATTTAGCTTTTTAAAAACAATGTTCTAGGATGTCTTTCTGAATTTCAAAACTAACAAAGGTTTATTCTTCTTTTCTATTGACAGGTCAAATTAATACCTACTGCCAGAATATTAAGGAGTTCAACGCACAGAACCTGGGCAAGCTTTTCATGGCTCAGGCTCTCCAAGATTACAACAACTGAAGAAACTTTGCTGTAGCCCTCAACAGGAAAAGTTATTTACAGTTTAAACCGTTCATGATCCTCTTGAAAATTTAGTGTACTGGGAAAAGGGTCTTGTAAAACAGTCACCTTGGTTTGTGTAGAATTCTCCTGTAAGGAAAATAAAGGCAAATTTTAATGATATTTTAGTGTTTCCTTATTTGTTGGCCCTATTGGACTGGAATTTTTTGTGGTCACTCAGGTTTTCTAAATGTTTGGCAGTTATTCGTGTTTAGTCATAGCAAATAATACAGGTTTTATTTAAGTTGGAATCTGAAATTAAAAAAAAAAATCACAAATGTTCAGTATAGCTGAGTTCACAGAAGAAATTTAAGATTTCCCAGTCTTGAGAACTTACAACCATAAAGTGCTAAGTCGCTTGGAGCAGTTGCTCATTTTAATCTGCTTGGACAGCATGGTGCGATGGACCTTCCATATCACAAATATTTCATAAGCTTCACATTCGGAACATACAAAATTTGTGTTATGTGGAGACTGATCCCCACCGTATCATGCTAAGCTGTGTTTTCATTTTCTGTTGCTGCCACCAGCTGTATTGAAATCCAGTGATGCTACTGAAATCTTCATGACAGAAACTGTAGAAGTAGCTAACCTGGAGCAGCAAGTGTGTGGTAAATGGACACCATACCTACTCTGCATTAACGTTGCCACCTGGATGTGCCTTTATTCCTGATCTTGGGCTACTTACCTTTTAATAAGAATGTTAATTTAAAGGTTTAATACATGTCAACTCATATGTGTTACTATCATTGACTTCTTTTTTTCCCCCCCTTGAATTCTTTCTTGCATGTCATGTGTGATGTTCTGAGAGCCTGAAATGGCTGAAGGAGTGTGGTTTGGTCTTTCAAAATAAATAACATCCTCTATATATGAACCTATCATGGAATATCTCAGCCTTTAAGGTGTATGTTATGGAAAGTCAGAAGTGTGTGAAAATTGGGGGTTAGACTAAGAACTAATTCTTTGCCAGTCTAAACTATAGTGATTGCAGTATTTATGTAAATAAGATGCGAATTTTGTTCAGATCTGGCAAATTGCCAGTCTCTTTTTTTTTGCCTTGGGAACTTTGGACACCTTTGTCTTAGCTTTCATATGGTTTGAAATCAAAGTTTAGTTAAGTATCCTGCTACAGTACCACATGATTGAGTTTCATTTCCTGTACAAATGATATTCAAGCCATGTTGATTTTCATGTTTTCTGAAGGACCAAAATAACCACCAGGGAACAGAAGTAGGAGCAGGTAATTGGACTAAGATGAGACATTTTAGATAGAAAAAATGATCTTCTGGATAACTGGGAATAGAAGACTGACTCTAGTGACTGTGTATAGAAGGAAGCAGCAGTAACATTATACCTACTAGAATAGGTAGTATTCAATTGAATAGGTAGTATTCAATAGGTAGTAGCAAATCGAGGTGTTGCAAAATAAATACTTGGAATAGGTTAAAAACAAGCTGTGTGTTTTGAATTAGTTCTTTGAGGATGTAAACGTGAGGAAAAGGGCAGTAATATTCTACTGTGCTGGAGTTTAACAAGATCAGTGAATTTTATATGGCTAGATTTAATGTGCTAAATGACAATTAAAGTCTATGAAGAAATACAGAAGACCAGTAGAGATTTGTGGCTTCTAGAGGTATGGATCTGAGTCAGACAGGGGAATGAGATACAAAAGTAGGTGAGGTGTAAGTAGAATTTGGAGATGATTTGACTAGTCTGTTCTGAGTCACACTTTGGTCATTTGTCACGGTGGAAATAATTAGAGGAAGCCTCCCTGAGTGAGGGTGGTGGAGTCAAGTTGAAGCTGTTGGTCTAGAAATGAGAATCAAGAGCTGTGGTGATAAGGAATTAAAAGGGATGGAACTGTGTCTCCGTGCTGGGTTCAGTGTGAGCTTTCCTCACTATATTCCTGGAACTTCACTTTTGTGTTCTTTTCCTAATGTGAGTGAGCTGGCAGCTCATTTAAGACTCATCCTTTGCATTTCTAACTATCACAGCATTACTTTTTTTTTTTCTCCTTCCTTGGTTGTGAAAGGCTTTTCTGTATGCTAATAAAAATGCAGTGACATTAGTCTTTTAAACCCCCCTTTAAAGAAGTGAGAACTTCTTTTCATTCAGCAAGCCTATTGTCATTGCAGAGGCAAGCAAGGCCTCTGTGCTGGGGTTGCAGCTCCATCGCGCATCTTCACATAATGTGTGTGCACTCATGAAATCGAATGTGCACGTAAGGGAAAACCATCCCTGCCATCATTGCCTGTAGACATAGTCCACATTTAGCCATCATCTCCTGTCACACCTAACCACACAGGTCTGTGTTGAGATAACTGTTTTGTAATTGGTTTTTATTTGTGCAGAACAGTAATCCTTGTAAGAGAAGATGTTACTTTGGATCCAGCTCTCACTGCCGTGAGTCTTACAAGCAAGTTTTCTAAGATAGATGCTGTGCAATTCTTTCAAAAGGGGTTTGAAAGGAGAAAAAAGGGACAATTGTTTTAGTTTTGATGCTAAAGAAAATGAGTATTTTTCTAGTTGGTCAGTACTTGGGATCTTCACCAGTATAGCTCTAATTTTGCTGTGACATTTACAGCCTCTGCTCTACTGTTCCTTGTAAAATGCTCTAATTGTATAGATAATTTGAGCCTATGTGGGATGTGAAGTGCCATCTCCCTTAATCATAGCACTAGCTTGGGCATACTGCCATAACTGCCTGCTTATGGGAGGGAGTAGTCCTCTGCTTCAAATCCCTTTTCATGTACAGACAAAACATAAGGGTTTTGCTGGTGTGAAGTGGTGTGGATGCAACTTGGTCTTGCATGAATAGTTGGAAAGCCAGTGCTCCTATAGTTTGAGGTAACACTCTCCCTGAGGAGTCACAGTAATGGGTGGTGCATGCTTGTTCCACAACACAGAGTGGACTAGATTAATCTGTGAGCCTTTCTAACAGTCTGAAATGTGTGCGGTTATACTGACAGCCCAGAGGTCATCTTTGGGAGAGGCAGTAGGAAAGGATGCTAAACTGTGAACCACCTGCCTGGTTAACTAAGAAATTATGTGTAATTCCTTGGATATGATTAACTGCCACAGTTGTTATCAGAGACTAATCCTTTATATTAATATTTAAGGGAAGTTAAACCAAATGGGAGAGCGCTTTTCTGTAATACAGACATACTTGGTGTGCCCTTATCTTGACATCAGGATACATACTGGTATTCCTTTCTCCTTTTGTCATTTTCGAAGTTGGACCAAGTTTCTGTAAACATTCTGGCACTGACTGCCCCCATGAAGGAAACCTGGGGTGCTTTCCTCAAGTTAATTCTACATGGGGTTATCATGTCCTTTGCATCTCCACATGATATTCCCTCAAATATTTAAATGTTTTAGAGGCTGAACTTTCACTACTCTGCATCCTGTCAAAGTCTAGACTTCTGTGATGAGCTGAACAGCGTGAGTGTAAGGTACTGCCAGGTAAGAATGGGTGGCATTTGTGCAGATGTAAGCAACTGCACAGAATAGACAGTAGAGAAGGTCTCGGTGGGGTTGGTGTCCTTTTTGGTGTTTACAAAGGTGTCAGATGGGATTGGCAGTGGCAACCAATAACACTTGTAAAGAACATCTGACATCTTTGTGTTTATGTTCTTTATGCTTCGCAAATTTCTGAGCACAGTGTCATTCATTAATCTTGGTCAGTATTGCCTGATTTTTTGCCTTCTGATGCATCTCTGATATGACAAATCACTGGTGCCTGAGACATCTTTAAGAAGCAAGCACTATTTAATGGTTCTGACTTGATAGTCAAAGAACTCCTGCTGCTCTGTTAAGGAGTCATTAGGAGCTGGTGATGCAAGTAATATCACCAGCCGGAAGATGTGCAGTGTGTGCAGTAAGAGGAATTGAATTGCTCTCTGTAGAACTGCTGCTCATCCACTTTGCCAGCCCTCGGGTGGGAGATATGTCCCTCATGATTTTCCCTTCCTGTGCATTTTCTTCCCTGGGATTTTATGCTTCCTTTTAGTTTTCTTCAGATTTTGCCCACAGCTTGTTGATTTTTAAGCAAAAAAGAGCATACTGCTTTAAATCCAATGCCTTCTGTCCCTATGTGCTTGACTTTTCCATTAATTCTTCTGGAAAGCTTTGCAGTTGGAAAGATGCTTGTGCAAGGTTTAATTCTTGCCGGGATGAGAGAACACGTTGCCGTTGCCCCTCCCCAACCCGCGCTGGTCGGGCTGGGAGTTAAACACAGACCCCGGCTAAAATAACAAGAAATTTAATGCAACAGAGTGATAGAACAACCTGAACAACAACAGTATCAATGGTAACAACAATAAACAGCAATAACAGTGAACAAGACAAAAGATATACAGAGAAATACCACTGAACGATCAAGGATTAAACCCACCGTGTGTATGGCAAAAACCAAAAACCAGAAGCGAAAGTGAAAAGGCTCCACCCTTGGACCTGACGTCAGCATGGTATGAATAACCCGGCTGGAGATCCCTTCCCCCTCTCTCTCTGCTGGGGAAAACTTTACTCTATCCTGGCTGAACCAGGACAATGCTTTAAATTTTGTAATCTGAACATCAAGGTCATGATGGAAGTTACAGTTGCTCAGGTGTCAGGTATGGTCCCGAGTTCAGCTTTCTCATGCCCCTAGTCTTCAGCTGCAGGGGACTGAATGCATTGGTGCTGCTCAGGAAGAGGTGGTGCTGCTCCTTGGGACTAGTCCAGAGGGAGGGATTTTCATACCAACTTTACAACTGGAAGGAGGTTTATACAAAGTTGGGCCTGTGCTTTATTTTTTGATCTTCTAATTGACGGAACAGATTGCTGTTGACACAACTCATCATATGCTGAGAGGTAACAAATTGCACAGAGCTGTAGAGGATGTCTTTAAAAACAACAGCTTTGGCAAAAGGCTTCTTTGTGAGAGAAAAGTTCATGTCTCATTTCAATTAAAGCAAACATTTATATGTGAGGAAAAATGGCCAGTTTCATTTTACAATGATATTAAAGGCATTAGGGTGTCAGTAAAACTAAGCAAGGAAGGGTAGCAATGTATTTATCCAGCAGAAACATGGTTAAAGACTCCAAAAGCTTTATAAGATGAAAAGAATATGTGCTGCAAAGAT